CCGCCGTCCGTTGTGGGCGTTGGGGGGATCCACGCGTGGATCAGCCGCCTGGGGTGATCGGCGTCTGATCTGGTGGCACCGGGCTGCAGGGCATTTGACCATATGTCTGGCTTCATATGCAGGCTACCGCGAGGTCTGAGGAGCGGTAGTCGTCATCGGTCCCCCAATGGCCCCGCTGAGGAGTGTCGGTTCCATCAAGTAATGCAGGAGTGGTCCTAGGCCCATGGGGTGCATCTACAGTCTGCGGGGGTTGCAATTGTCTAGTGGCCCGCACCCGGGTGTTCGCAATTGCAGCGTGGTCGTCGGCAGCGCCTCCGCCCTGTCCAGTTGGTGATGTTCTGCCCCCATCGATCCCGTCCCATCAAGGATGGCGCTGTGGGGAGCCCCGCCTTGATCGGCAGTATGTGGGGGGCTGGATGCGATTTGTTGGCACCGGCGACCTACGGGGGCTTCGCCCAAGCTTGCTTGGGCGGGATGCCTGAATTCTTAGCTGGTCGACAGTGCAGGTAGCCTCGAAGCTCATGGGGCAGTAGTCATCATTGTTCTCCCCACCGGTCGACTGGGAGGCGTCGGCTCCCCTAGGTAATGCAGTCTCGATCGCTGGCCCGTGGGATGCGTCTACCGGCCAAGGGGGGTGCATCAGTGTGGCTGCTCGCACTGTGGCATCTGAGGGAGATGCACTCGCTTCCTGCGAGTTGGGCGGCTTGTCGGGTGGGAACGGCCGTTGGGTCTGGCCACTTGGGCTGGCCACGGTGCACACTGTAGCTGTGTGCGCCACTGCTGAATTGGGAGTGAATTGGGAGCCGTTTCCGAGCTCCCAATTGTGTGCGTCACTGCTGAATTGGGAGTGAATTGGGAGCCGTTTCCGAGCTCCCATTATGATCCATGTGCGGACTGGCTACAGGCCTCAAGGTCGGCTGTGGTAACACCAGGTCCTTTGGTCGGAAACCACCCGAGGCTTTGTCGACGTCATCGCTACCCTCCGGTCCGACCGACTGAACCTAGCCCCCTGCGGGCCGTCTTGCTTGGAGAATAATCTGGTGAGAGCCGTGCACAGTTCTGCCTCGTGGTGTGTCCGTCCGATGATCTGATGGCATCGATGTGCGGCTGGGCTTGCACCCTATCCCATGCGGTTGGTGCACTCAATCAGGGCCAGTCAGCGAGCTCGACTTGTCTAGGTGCCTTGGCGCCTACCCATCAGTTGGGTCATGTGCGCTGGCAACCGCAGTGTGTCGATTGAACATGGTCGCCATCCTGTGGTGTCGGAATGGGCAATCGCCCGAAGGTGCTGCCCTTGAAGATCGTGTGCCAAATTGATCGGCATATGTGTGGGACGATGCCCGGATCTGCCGTGAAGTGGGCGGTTGGACGGTCCTGTCCGTGGAGATAGGAACAAGGTGTCCAGCCCTGGGTGCGGAATGGGCCCTGCTTTGCACAACACCAGCCCCCAAGCCAGGCTGCACAAGAGAACATGAAAATGTCCCAGCCGGAAGGAGATCGACCGCCCCAGGATGCGTGGCGGGGCCGAGTGATTAAGGTACCCTCCCACCCCCGTGTGGGGGGGACGTGCCCCCCTATCCCTCCGCCTGCGCCACCTGGGGCCAGGGGCACCCCGCAGTGCGTGGGCGGGGGGCCACCCCGCTATGCGGAGGAAGGTGGGGGCCGGCAACCCCAGAGCCGTTGGGTGGGGGTGGCTTGTTAGCGGGCGGAGACCGGGAGCGCAGGATGGGGCAGTCGGCGATCAGGTGGCCGGGCTTCTTGCAGTAGTAGCAGGTTAGGGCATCAAAGCCAAAAGAGAGGGTAGACATCTTCGCGGCAGCCGCAAAGAGCTTGCAGACATCCGGGCAGGCACTGGCTGAGTGGCTCGTGGCTTGGCACTAGACACACCAAGCCCCACCGGAAGGGCCCGCTGAGGGAGGCCCGGCGGGTGGAGCAGGGTCAGGCGAATGGATGAAGGCACGGAAGGTGGTCATGGCCATCTGGGTGTCACCCGGCCGCTGGAGGGCCATCACCTCCTAAAGGTACTTCTGGATGGTGTAGGGTGAGCAAAGCTTGTTGAGAAGGGGCTTGTAAATTTGCTTTCTTGTGATGAAGACGGTTTGCCGTCTGGAACTGACCAGCGGCCTCGGCTGCCTGGATTGCCTGGTCACAGTCACGGACCTGAGCTGCATGCCGCTCCTCCACAACCAACTCCGAGGGAGTGGAGGTAAGCTTGGTCCCCCCCACCAATTCCGCAAATCCTTTTAGTGCACAGGACACGGCATCACGGGGCCCCGCCACCGGTTCTCCAAATGAGCCCTGCGTGTTGTCCCGAACTCAATCGTCCGGCTGCAAGGGGGGGTGTGCCCGCCATAGGCTGCCAATCGGCCAGGCTTCCTGGGGGTGGCACAAGAGTGGGCCCAGAGGAGCCCGGTTGCGGGGCCGCCGTAGGGCTTAGCTCGGGCCGATCGTGACCTTGCTGCCCTGGATCAGAGCCTGTGCGCAGACTGGGTGCATGGATGTGCCCAAGGAGACGCGGACCACTAGCAGGCGCAATGATCGGGTCGGTGCGCTGCCCGCCGATCTGATGGATCGGGCTAGGGGGGCGGACCTTGGGGCCCAGACTGCCACCAATTGCAATCGCCGCTCCCAGGTTGGTCAGAACGCAGTCGGCTGGGAGGCCCCACCAGGCCGGAGGCCGGGGGAGGAGGCAGAAAGCTCCCGTCGCCATCATGTGCAGCTGCATGGCCGGAAGGGTTGGAGGGAGGGGCAAGGGGTTGGGTCGACAGTGGGCCCCTATGGGAACCCGCCCCTCCCACCATTGAGACGGACGCCGGCGCGGGCGCCACGGCTGATGGAGATGACCCCACCCCCATATCGGAGCGAAGGTGTGCGTAGTCAAAACTGCATCGTCAACGGCGCCGTGGGGGCCAGTCGTGGGGCATGCCGCCACGCAGCCGGGCAGAAGGAGGGGCGAGGCGCCAGCAGTATCGTAGGCAGATGTAGACGCCCAGGCGCAGGCCGACGCCGGCTGGCTTGCGGGGCAAGGCGGGTTGGCGGGGCCAGCAGCGGGCCAGCGGCTGGCGCCTCCGCATCGCGGGCCAGGATCCAGTCATAGTTGGGAGAGTCCTCGGCGCTGAAAAGATCGTCTCTGATCTGGCAAAGATGCGGCCGCGCCGCCCACCAATCGCGGTTGCGAGTGATGGCTGCTCAGGCCTCCGAGGCAGCGGTGGAAAGGAGGCGTCCGTAGGCTTCCTGGACGAGGCGCTGACGACGGGGGGGCCCCAATGGCGGGAAAGCGAGCGCCAGCCTTGGCCAACCGTAATTAGGTGTCCCGCCATAGTGCGCTAGCTTGCAACCGCTCATCCGCGACTTTGGCGGTCACCTCCTCCGGGAGGTGGGGCGGGAAGGCAGAATAGAGGTGGTGTTATGACCTATTCTGGTTGAGTGTCTCCTAGTTAGGTCATGACATGTAGCTGCCTTAGTTCGGTAGATAGGCCGGGCTTTGGGATACAATCTAGCGGGTTAGGTTGGTCCCATTTGATTAAACTTGATTGATATCATGATACTACGATTATATATGAGGTAACGCTTCCACTGTAAGATTCTCTTTTCCCGGTTGACGGTCTCCGCGCGACTCCCTCCTTGCATGCGCATCCTAGGCGGCACCCTTCGAGGGGCGCCCAACAGGTGGTGGTTGGCGCTGGTTGACGGAAAGCTCGGTGGAGGGGGACCAGGAAGGGCGAGAGGGAGGGCGCAAGGCCGTGGATCGTGGATGAACGCCGGCGGATCGCTAGGGGTTGAAACGCGCGCCCTTTTGGCCAGCCGATCAGAAGAAGTTGGCCGGCGGGATCTTGGGGTGGCGTGGGAGGCCGGCGGAGCCCATGGGCTCCGGGGAGCCCGCCTGGAAGGTGTAGGACGCCGCGAAGTGGAAGGAACGCCGGGGGCGGCCACGGGGGCTGGCGGATCAGCAGTGATGGTGGCCGAGGGGTTTAGGGCGCCCGCTGGCTCAGATGGTCCCCCAGGTCCGGACGTCGTGGAGAAGGGATGGAGCTCGGATGGGCGGGCGCTGGCCGGAGAAGGTGGAGGGCCACTCGGTGCCGCAGGAGCTCCCGAAGGAGCATCAACTCGGACGGCAATGGGTTGAAGCCGAGGCGTCCCAAGGGAAGGGAAGGAAGGGGCGACCATCGAGGCGGGAGGGGTGATGGCCTCGACGTCATCATCGGCCGAGGAATCCATCCAGTGGCCGCGGTCCGCAGAGGGGGAACAAGCCCAGGAGGAAGGGGGGGCACAGCCCCGCTGCCGCCTACGTCTGCGCCCGCGGCGGTGCCCAGAACGAGGCGGGCCCAGGGCGGTGGCCCAAATGACGCAGATCAGCGCCACCGCCACCCACAACAAGCCCGCGAACATGATGGCAGAAGCCAGCGATTGGGGGAGACACACAGCACAACAACGGCTTGCCTCTCCATGTGGGCGCCTTGCAGCTGGCCACTGGCGAGCACAGCCCACTGTTGGGAGGTGTAGTGGCGACCCGGAATACGATTCTTGGCTTTACCTCAGCGATGAGGATCAGGCCGATTTCTTGCATTGATTGGTTTCATTGACCCATTTTCTGTGGCGACAAGCGCGGGTCATCGCTTGCTTTGGGGATCTGCACCCTTCTGTCGAGCCTCTTCTCAAGTCGGTGGCCCCTTTCCGTTTTGTTACATGTACAATTTACTTTTTGATTACTATTCCGCTTGTCTTGACCATATTCGCCGGGTTGGTCCTTTTGGTGGGTTCCCATTTTGTTTCAGCCCCTTTCTGCACGCACTTGCATTCCTTTTGACAATCTGATGTGTTGGTCCCACAGGTATCTTCTTGTCTGGCGCACCCTGCACCCTTTGGAACGATAGGTGCGCCCATTACCTTTGTTTTTTTTTCAACCCTCCCCCTTTCTGCTCATGGCTATCCGCGAACGCCTGAACCTTGCAGTCAGAAAAAAAACGTTGCATAGATATCATCATTACGTTGATGCTCACCTGGGCAGCGGGCCCTGGAGTTGAAATCAACTCTGGTGGCTCTTCCTGTACATCATGAACACTACATTCAATTTACTCTACAATCCTTTGTTCCGCAATTTTTACAACCATTTTTTCCTTGGCACAGCAAATTTTACTCATATGGTATTGTTAAATGTTAATGCTATGGAAAAAATGGTTGTAAAAACACTCCTGTACATTCACATTCACCCAAGTGTTTACAGGTGACTTAGATTACACTATTTAGTCAGTACTTGTTTTATACAAAAAGTTATTGCATGTGATGACAACACTAAATGCCAAATATTTGGTTGAAGTCTTCCCCATTTCAAGGGCACATGCCATGGTTTGCAGCTGGCTCATAAGCCATGGCATCCAAGCAGAATAGATGACATCACTTATCCCCAGCTATATAGCAGTCTACTTCCAAATCTGCATAATTTAATGTTCCCATTACAAAATCAATATACCACTCTTCATCAGATTATTCCCTTCAAGTTGTGTGCCATTCCCCAATCTATAAATCAAACTTACAGGCCATCCAATATCTCTGGGAAGACAGACATTTTCCCATCCTCCAATGCTATGTGCTATATGCTATTCAAGCACATCATCACTCGCACAGGCCATACTTCGTACTCTCTGGATTTCAATAAAATCAATATGAGAATGTTAGTATGTCACATTACTCACTCGAGGTTCCGATCATGGCAGTAAATGTAATGGCCAAAATTTTAGTGAGTTACAAAGAGCAAAGTTTGGCCAATCTCAGGAGTATGGCAAAAACAGCTGAATGAAGAACTCACCTCCATCACAAAGTCGATCCAATCGCGAAATGAGCTGACCTTCGTGAAGACATTTGGTAGCTGTGAATCTCCACATCCAGAATCGCCAAAGGATGTGATGCCAACAATGATATCGAGGCTGGGTTTGCCAGCCTCTAGGACACCATCACGTGTAAAAGGCTCTATCAATGGGCCCCCACTATCACCTGTCAGCCATCAGATACTTTTTGGCATGTCTGCTGCAGTTGTGCATTATCAACTCATGGTGTATTTTTACTGATGCTTACCTAGCAGATGGGAAAACTACTGTAGTGTTACAATATTGTTGGTAGTGCAGTACTGTATGTTACTATTGCTGCAGCACTGCTGGATATGATACAACACTGGATTGTGCTTCACAGATTCCCTCTTACAACGCCGGATTAATTGGTAAACATGTTTGATGACAGAAGCTATTCACAAGGCCCTTAAGGTACAGTGGGGCGAACTAGGTACTACACACTACTCTGGCATGTTGTTGCAGTATCAGCTGTGAGTTCAGCCTACACATTAAAATTGTCTGAGTCAATGAGTCATGCAGGTTCAAACAACTGAAAAGCGCAGAACACATATCCAAACACACAGAACATCCTTCAAGTTAAATTGCCCATTCGATGACAATCAAATGTTCAGTTGTCCCTAGCATGCCAAAAGAATAAGCCATCATTGATTAACTGCTGCCAGCAGCAATTCAAGTCACGAAGTTTAACAATTTTACTTGTTAGTCGCATTCAAACGGAATTTACAAACATAAAGCAACAGGATGTATCCATACAGAATATCCCATCTCACTGAATTGAGCTCGAAGTTGTTCAGCATATTGAAAATCAAGACCTTTTCGTTTTAGGCTGTTTCGACATATTCTTTGTGTTTCATAGAAAACACTGGTAAAGCAAGTACAAGGCCACCGCAAAGCATAATTCGAAGTGGATCGGATGCCAATTCCCTTGGATGGCGATTTAATCAGTCGCATGTGTACCTTGACACACATCCTCCCCTTGGAAACTATAAGCACAAAACATGGTGTCCTTTACGGAGTCGCCCCAGAACTCCTTGCTGCGGCATTCATTGATATCTATGACTTCAATAGACTCAGCCATTTGAAGGTCGCCACTGCCGTCACCGCCTTCCCCCCATCCAAGAGCCAACAAGGCTTCGCCCCTGAAGATGAGCATGAACAACATACATCTCATAAGGGAACACAAAATTTTGCTGACTTGCATAATTTTGCATTTTGCTTCAAGTACGTAGTTCCATCAGATAGCAGATCAAAGCTGAACAGTTCATCCCCGACCAGAGATTTCTTTACATTCGATGACGGTGTCTAAACAGAGAAACAAGCAAATGAACAATGTTCCCATATGTCCTGTAGGCAGTTGCAGTCAGAAGGATTGAAATTTGTTCATTTGTAATCAGCTATGTTTTGCTTATTACATTTGCTGAACCTTTGTACATTATCTGATACAGCAAGGCATGGTTCACGGTCATGTGTCCCCAGCAGCTACAGTCAGCATGCATCACCTGGAAAGGGAGTGTGTGGCTGTGGGGAGACCTACAAACTCGTGCTTGGTCTTCTTCTGCAGCTTGAGCAGCGCAATGTCATTTCCATCTGACAGATTTCCTGTCCAACCTTTGTGGATGAATGTCTTTTTTGGTCTAGATGACTGCACACAACATACCATTGTCAGAGCACCATTTGGGACACAGCAGTACAAGACCAACGTGCCAAGTTATCAGTGCTATGTACCAACTCCTGGAACTTAGTATCTACTGTGGCATATTTAATCCTTGACATATAGAAAATTTAGCATAACCATTTAAGGGATTTATGCCATGCGATTTCTCACATGAGCATCGCCAATTTCTTTGTCATTCTGCACCTCTTGTGGTCTCAAGAGCAAGGGAACAGGCTGGGAGGCATTGGGAACTGTTGCATAGGTGTTCCACTTGCTCACTTCAGAGATGCATTGAAACACGGATGATGGGAGGGAATATGTGTCCCAGGGTGCTGGCGCATGTAGCACAAGGAAAGGTGACACGACTGCTGACCAGTGCATTCCTGCTCAGGGCACAGACGCACTGGCCTTTTGGAGGGATGCAAGGCGTCCCATTGATCATGCTGGAAGGCCGACACTGCAAGGGAGCGATTAGCCATGGGGCACAAAAGCATTGGCTTGTGCAAAGCACAGACTGGATGATAATGCAGCCGCCATTGCCTAAGCACTGTGGGGCCAGAATGCTTGAGCCTTCAGCATTATGCTTTTGTAATGCACCTTTTCTGCCTAGCATTTATTGAAAGAGTGGCGCTGTATCATTCCTGGAATAATACACTAGACAAGACTTGGTCTTTATGATTACGGCCCCATTTTCGGGTTTGTGTTTTTACATATAAAAATGTGTAAATAGAGAAGTGGTCATTTTCACATCCATATTCATGCATATTTACAACTCGTCAACATGCCCAGATAACATGATGATGTGCCAATCAACGATCAAGCCTCCATTATCTCTAGAACCAGCAACACAGCGCACACCTCGATCCCAGCAAGGAGAACGACGTCTCCGAGCAAAAGATCATTTCATGCAAGCTTCCTCGCGTCCAACTGCTGCTCCTGGGACTCCCGGAGTCTGTATGTATTGTCTCTAAATACCCAAGCTTCATTTTTACGCATTTTTACGGCTATTTGCACTTAAAAACGTAAGAACTATTTTTACATGTAAAAGACGTAAATAGAATGTTCTTTACACCACAAAGACCAAGCCTTCACTGGACAAGTGGGTCCATGAAACAGGGCATAAAGTCGAGATGCTGTTCCAAAGGATTGAATCTACTACGGTAGTTCATGCATCTGTGTGGATGATGAATGCACAGTGTTGTCATGCTCTGGTGACACAGGCTATCCAAAAATTGTCAACTGAAAATAGAATAAACCAAACAAGTTATGTAATATTGTTTAGGCTTTGCAATACTCTTATGATATTTCAGCACTTGCAGTATGTCACAGCACTTTATGCAACAACATGGATTGTGCTCACGACACTCCTCACATCAAAACCCCATTGCTGGAAATAGCAACACAACAATGTACATTGCTATTATTGCTATCCTTGCTGTTGCCGCTATTACTAGTGCTATTGCTATCACTACACCGGCACAACTACTGTTATTTCCACAACTACTGCACTGACATCACCACTACCAGAACTGCTGCTAGTACATTACTACATCAGACAAGGCACCACGCAGTGCAACAGTGCCAGCCCCACCTCAACTTTCCCATTTTCGTTCTCCACGTCGTCCAGTTTGCAGCCACCTACCACCACAATGGGTGTGGTGCCCAGGGACTTTTGATTATTTGGGTCCACGCAGTGTGCTGCAGTCAGCACCCACTTGCTGGCAACTAGTGTTCCCCCACACCTGTATCCATCAATGAAAGTGACGCCCACTCTAGTTTTCATTGATCCAATTCGAGCAATGACCTGTACGGCGATCATATTCGATCAGCAGACTCATCTGTTGTGCACACAGCTTACAGGCTCCTGGCTGACATTCCCTTGCAGGTGCAAAGGCTGCATGTTTTCACTTTCTCAAAAATACAATAAAGTGTCTGTGAACAACAGTACATTTACATTTCTGTATCTGTTTTGCATTCCTAATTCTTATCCTTATTTTTTCTGTCTATGCCTGTGATGCACATCTATACACATACCTGTGCACATTTTCAGCATTGCGCAGTGACACCATGTTGGAGAACCGCCCACATGGTGCATCCTCACCCTGCCATCAAAAGGCATACCAACTGTCGACCACTGTTTTGGCCCAATTGCCTAAACAAGTTTTTGACCCAGTGTTTTGCAGTGTGTCATGCAAAATGCAGTACAATGTAAAGTACAGTGCATGCACATTTGCCTATATACACTATGTGACAGCATTGCTGGAGAGCATCAGGGCAATCCCAAATCGCTTACCCAACCCCTTTCGGCTGTGCTAACTCAGGGCAATGCACTACCAATGCTGTACATTGAACACCACAATGCAGATATTCTTGGAGCTGTATTACTGTATCCAGAAGAGATAATGGCAATGTCTGGCCCATTACAAGGTGTACACACAACAATAACATCTTGGCATGGCCTTTACATTTACAGAAAATTTAATACAGAAAAAGTACATCCTTTGTATTGTCCTAATTGTCCTCTATTTTAGACACAAACTCTATTACAAGAACAGCCTCAAAATCAAAAAAGTTCAAAATCAGAATGATTGGGTCCCAGCACCTCCAATTACCAAGTTCCAAGAAAAACTGCACTGGTAGAAAACGGCATGTCTGCGATGGTATTTTGACACAAAATGATGCCATCACAGTGATTGCAATGGGATAAAAGTGGCTGTGTTGGGGCATCAAATTTGTCCCAAATGGCACTCAAGTGGCATCGCAAACAGGTTGCCTCTACTGGTGTAGTGCGACTCGAACCCTTTGACTGTTGGACTAAAGGTAAATTTTTGTCATTTTGGAACACACATTCGAGGTTTACTATGTAACACACCCTTGTCACAAACTAATGCCAAATCGGCAATTTTTGACACATTGACTTGATTTTTGACCGTATAACAAATTCAAAGCCACGGCTTTGGTGCAAGTTTCATTGACAATCTAAGCTACCGTGATGAAGAAGTAGGATGCCAAAGTCGCAGAGGATAATTGATTCCTGACAAAAGAAGTGCAATGAAGTACTAGGATGCACACTGCTTTTCTCAACATATTGTTGCTTTTCTGGTTGGGAAGACAACAGAAGAGACTGCAAATGTGGAATGGCGAATGCTACATGGCAAATACTGTAGTATATTCAGCCTTCCGCATAGTAACATAATGCTGGGCCCTTTTTCGCGGAGTTGATGAACAAAAAAGTAATGGTGCTAGAGCGAGAAGCGGAGCAGCCGAATTTAGTAACTGCCAGGGCGTGGCCTCAAGACGGGGCCCCGGGCACTTGGCAGGCCACTGGGCCGCCCAGTGATCGACTGCCACAGTCGATCAGCAGCCAGGCCAGTGCCTGCCGCTTGCCTACTGGGCCTTGAACCGCCGGAAGCGATCGCAGGCATATGCCAGCGTGATCGCGGATAGGATCGATTGGACACGCGAAGGCCCATGGTGGGCCGCCCACCCCGCCTTGCGCCATCCCCTCAGCACTCCCCGCCACCCGGAAGGCTCATGGGCGAGTGATCGGTAGGCAGGTAGGAAACCCTGTCTGCCATCCGGGCGGCAGGAAGAGTGGGCACTGACGCCGAAGGTGCCAATATGGCACGGAATCCCACGGGCGCACGCGCGTTGACCAACGGCTAACTTGGGGGGGGGGGGGGAGGTCACGGCGTCGCTGGGACTCTTGGGAACCGTTCCCAGAGCTGGGTGGTTGATGTCGCATGGCGCATGTATGAATGAGGCTTGGGACTGGTCCGTCGCACCTGAAACTTGGGATACAGCCTCTAGAGGCCCCTTGGAGCCTGCCTGACACGATGCGGAGCAAGGAAAAAAATAAAGTAGCGGTCCAGGGCGAAAACGCAGAGCAAAAGCGTAACGGTCGGGATGGACCGATGCGGAAGGGTTGAATATACTATGGTACTAAGTAGTTGTGTGGGCCATTGCTTGTGGGGGCAAAACATCACAAAATTAAGAGCTCAAATCATAGAATGAACTTGCAGTGTTATGGCCAGCAGTACACATACAGTAATTCCTCTTTACGCAACAGCAATATTTGCATGCCACTGTCCCAGCCAAGACACCCACATCCACTCTGCTAGGATGAGAGTCACATCTGATATACGGAATGTGATGTAGCCGATGGAAGGAGAAGGAAACACCACACCCATACAATGGGCCCTCTTAGTGAGCAGTGTCAAGATATATTTGGCCCAACAGACAAGCATGCCTGCAGGAGGGACCTAAGCAAGCGCATTTCTTCCCAGCTGAGAACAACAGGCTAACCACTACTGACATCGCAGGGGCGAGTAACACCGTCCGTGTAACATTGCAGTGGGGATTGAAGAGGAGGGGGATCCATCTGCACCCAGTGTAGCATTGGCACAGATGACAATTTTCCTATTGATGACAAGGGGCCGCAGCCTCTGATGTTGCATGCAAAATGCACAGAACATGAAACACAGAAGTTTGCCAACGTTGGTGGAAGCTAGGACCCTTGAGCAGCCAAGGGGTTTCAGCACCTCTCACTTGCTCGCATGGATGAGAGTGTCGCAGTGTTGGACAGACCTGAGGTGAATGTCAGAATGACAGCACGACACTGTACAGCACTCTGTAATTTCTGCGCTGGAATTAATGTAGGGGATATTGGCTCAACAAGATGTGCCAATCGGCAGGTGCAGACCCAGTCCTTGGATAACTCTGGTCACCTTCAGACAAAGGATCCCTACTTTGTGGATCTGTCTGGAGACAACACAGGGCAAACATACTGGCATGCTTGCATACAAGGCACCAAAGTACGACAAGGCGATTACTCACAATGGCAAACCACAGAGTATTAGATCTGAAGCAACTACTTGATCGACCATAAACAGCAGGCCGTGTACCCATCATGCACAAAGGATGTTCATCAGCAAGTGTATGCTTGTCACCAATGACAATCACTGATTACAACCTGAAAAAAAAATCTGTAAATCAGGACCATCTTCAACAGGGCCCATCCACAATGTGTGTGCACAGCCATGCACCTGAGTTATGCTTGCAGACAAGAGGGGTACAGGATGTATCAATCATGTACCCATCTTGGCCAGTTACAGTGCTGCAAACCGATTAGCACTTAGTTCTGCAGGTGGAAATAGTTGCACTATTCCTGTATCCCCAAGCAGCCCTTGCAGCAACTTTGCTCGAATGGCGTTCTGCCTCTCCGTGCAGAAAGCTGTGCTATGACACTGTGCAGGTGAAACCTGTCAGCGCAACGTTGCTTTCCTGTACGTACCAAAATCAGTCCTTGAGGTATATTTTGCTTGAGCTGCCTTGAATCCCCAGACGCATCCCCAAGCGCCAAACCTGCACAGTCCACATCCCCACGATGGTGTGAGTCAATACTTGATAGCAGCAACATCCACCTCTGTGCGTCTACCTGATGGTGAGTGTTAAACCAAAATGGTGTGCTGTCCTGTATTCAGAGGCCCCCTGTCACTGTTGTGGCAACAAATGCAGGCACCTGCAAACCACGTTTGGAATTGTCTGATATGCGAAACAGCAGGGCTTTGGCACATTGCGATCTGAGCGAATGGCAACAGCATCAAAGTCAGAAGGTGGTTGGCTGCTGCAAAGAACACTACAGCGATTCTGTTGGCTGGGGGGCACATACTGCCAAAGGGAAGTTCGCATTTTGCAGTTGTCCTGATCACAGTGATGTTGAGCATCAGGCGATTGATGTATTGACAACAAGGTAGCTGGCTTGTTATAAATGGCAATTAGCAGGCGGCATCCCACTTCAGTCATCGCTTCTGACTGGGGCACCTCTTTAACTCATAACAGCTGTCAGCAGCTCATCCAGCTGTTTATTGCTGGATTAAAGCCTCTGCCAGCAATGTACAAACCGCAAATGACCAAAGAGACAACTGAAGCCTGCCCTGCGTATTAGAAGTATACGGGAGCGCAAGCAACACGTGAATGGCGCTGACGACAAGCAGGACCTCTCTTGAGCAGCATCCTCTGTGACATTTTCCACAGTCCTATATTTACATTCCATTTTGCTGAACTAAGTCTTTGGTGAAGAGAACCAACAACACGCAGAACTCTACTCCCCCCTTCAGGGAGCCAAGCATACCACACATATCTGGTGCGTGTCCCACACAGTTGCAACCCCTGACAGCAAGACTTTGCCAGAGTGGTGGCAACCTTCAAGAGATTAGTCCAACAATTGCATCCATTTGTCCTTGTGACAGACGATACCTTCCTGACCAAGCCAATTTGTTCCACAGTGTAACACCGTAGAAAACAGCCTGTTTGCAATGCCAATTGCGATGCCACTCGACACAAATTGATGCCACCGCAGCCGCTTTTATGCCATCGCAATCACTGTGACAGCATCATTTTGTGTCAAAATGGCATCGCAGTTGGCATCGCCAACATGCCATTTTCTCCCAGTGTAAACGAGATACAGAGGTCTCCCATTGTTGGCAGGGAAGACAACCAGCTGTAAGGATCAGGGACAAAAGCAGTATCTCCAGATTCACCAGGGAGCTCTAGTGCCAGCGGTAGTCGCTAGAGTTGACAGCAGTCCCCAGGGAATCTGCCCAGGCTTCCAGAGTCACTTGTAACTTTCTGCATCTCCAACCACAATATGGCAGATTTCATAAAATTCTTGCACAAGAAGGGTCCATGCCACAGGATGAGTGCTCTTCTGTTGAAAATGCAATATTCATGGTGTTATGCAGCAATAAGCAGCGATTTCATGGAATGTTCTTTGTGCAGGAAATATGAAGAGTTCTTGCAGGCGATGATGGGTGCTGTGTGGAATTTGGAGTCTTCCGTATTGGGCATGGGAAAGACCTCGCCGAAATGTTGTTCAGGGGGAGAGCGCCCAGAGTACCACACGCTGTACACTGTTAAGAGGACAATCCTCAAAGTGCCCTGTCCACGTGACCGAAGAGAACGTTCTAGAGGCAATGAAGGCCGAACTTGGCGACTCCCACCCTCGAATTCCACGATGATCGCCGCGCATGCCGTCCACACCACCAGAAGAGCCGATGCCGCGCGAAAACGGGATGCCATTGTGGCGCGCGCGCCAACGACGTAACGGGTTGGTCGCCTCGACGGGGACCTGTACGTTGGTGAAAAACTCCCGGTTAAGATAAAGATCTGGCCACGGTCCATGGCGATTTCCCGGAAATCTCCGAGCTCGGAGCTGAGACGCCAAGCGGCGCTTTGAGGGCGAACGGCCGTTCGCAGAAAAGAAAAGAAAGGGGAAGAGAAAGACAAGCGAGAAAGAAAAACAGTTAGGCGGACGAACGGAGGAAGAGGGGTGGGGCGCCCTTGCTGACATTCTATTGGTCGGCTGTGGACTGTCTCGACTTCGCGGTGACTTACATGGCATCGAGGCGACAGTTCCTGGGGCGAGGGAGTTGGCTCGTTGGCCGGTCGTCGCCGGCCATCCCCAAGAGGGCCGCTGTGTGGGAGGCTCCCGAGTAAGCCAAGAGAACGCCGCGCCGGATTGGGCATTCCGCGAACAAAGTACTGTCCGACAATGTGTTGATAATGTACTGTGGCAATGTGGTGATAATGTACTGTGGTAGAGGGTGTTCCTCGATGCCTTCCCCCCAAAGCGACGGCATGCATTGTATCGTGTCGGTGCAGCTGGAGGCAGGAGAGTCGAGTGCCGTAGGATGGCATTGGATTGCTCGGCATTCAATGCCGACAAGTTGCCTGGATAACTTTGACGGCTGTGGCGCAATGCATTTGCAGATTGGTTTTTGGGGATAGGAAACTGATGGGAAACTGGTGTTCTTGCTTTGTTCCTCGGCGGCAGAGTTGACCCGTCCTTCAATCCGCGCCAGTCTTTTTGGGGGGAGCCGCGGCATGAAGACAGTGCAAACCTTCTCGCACCAGGGCATGCGTTCGATGCCACATCGTTTGGAAGTGCAGCAGATTGGTACAGGCGCGTAGTGGCTGGGCAAGCTTGTCTTGATAACGCCTTAAATTGCCGGCAAAATAAAGTGGCATTTTCGTCTCAGAACATGAGTTCACATCCCTTCTTTCTGCCTAACTTCGCTGCTGCTATGCAACAACCAAATGAATTGAGTTCTTAAGCCCTTCTGCATCGGAAATCTGTACCGTTCGGGTTTTCGCTCCGCGTTTTGCTTTTGAGAGCGTTTCTCTTTTATTTTACATTGTTCCACAAGAATTCTATTAAAAGAGTGTTAATCTGTTATTGTTTTCTCTGCAGAAAAGGGCCAAGCGTTACGTTATTATGCGGAATGGCTTAAAACCCCACGGTGCCCGTGTTGCTAAACTCTGTCCCGTATCGCTTCACATTGCAAGGCTGGCGCATCATTATTGACACGCGATTCTTGCGAGGTTGAGGGCGGTTTCAATACACAGAATAAATGCGCAACCGATACGCCATAGAAAAAAGTCAATAGAGAAATTACTGGGAGGCAGTCAACCATCTTGTCGCCTGCTTTCCTTCCTGCTTGAAACGATGTTCATGCACGACTGTCTGGCGGTAGTTGCTAGAGAGTCAGTTCGGCAATCCTCGCAGGTGCTGCGCGTCCACCCCCGCTGGGGTACAGTGGCACCAAATACACGGTTGGTATTGAACGACTGTTCCCATTTCCACATGGTTTGAAGCTAGTGGCAGTGAGTGCCGTCAACAAAACGCTGTCTACGCAGCTCCAAGTAAGCACAGCCCAGCAGGCGTCGAACGGCATTCCACCAAGAATCATGTGCGGAGAAGCAAACAACAAATTTCGCGATGAACTGCGTTCTAATATACAGCAATGGAGCTCGTGGGACATCCTAATTAGGGTCGATGAATGGACGGATGGATGGACGGATGGATGGCGCTGAACAGATGCCAAACCCTGGGCTGTAGTCCAGTGAATTTTCGAGCAACCCAGTAGGTTCCAATCACCGCGGCATCCAGACAAGCGCTGGCACGCACAACCGCCTCCTTGGGCACCAGATCCCCCCGCCCCCCGGCCCTCACGAAACAATATCGTCCAGCTCATTTCGGATATCAAACGGGCAGGAAAACCCGCACACGACGTCCCTCGGCGTCTGCCCGTCCTCGTCCTCTGCCTCCTTGTCCGCCCCCTCCTCCACCAGCAGCCTGGCGATCACCGGGTACCCCTGCCTCGCCGCAACATGCAGCGGCGTCTCATCCCTGGTTCCGTTCGCGTTCACGTCCGCGCCAGCCTCTATTAGCAGTAGGGCCGCCGCCAGGGCGTCGTTGAACGCGGCGAGGTGCAGGGGCCTCGATTTTGTGACCTTGACCGCCTCCACGTCGGCCCCGGCGCCTATGAGCACGCCTATGACGCGCCAGGCGTTGTACTTGCTGGCCTGGTGCAGGGGCGTCTGCCTGTCGTTGTCCCTGGATTCCAATTTGGCGCCCGCGCCGACCAGGGCGGACGAGACGTTGGAGGCGTTGTAAGTGGCGGCCCAGTGGAGCGGCGTCTGGCCGTCGTTGCAGGTGGCCTCCGTGTTGGCGCCCTGTGCCGCATAGCGCAAAGTGGCGTGAAAACATTTAGAACGCACTACAATCGACGACATCTGTCAACATCATAGAAGGACCGCTAGGAACGCCATTAGTGTCACAATGGTATTAAGAGCACTACTGCAGTCACAATGTTATGCCTTTGATACTTTAATTAGTTTAAAATCAATCAAGCATCAAGGCGTACCATTGTGACTGAATATTTTGGTCCCGTTCTGTTACAACGGGGATTGCTGGCAGCAAGAAGGCAATGCTGCTTGCAAAGAAAGACTGCGCTTGAAACAAGGTTGTACGATGAACATCAAGTAGATTGCAAATCCCCCCCTCCCCCCCCACACACCCCCACACCCCGTCACAGCCCAACGACGCACTGGTAGGTACGGTGAGCACGAGCTTCCTCCTCATGTCCCCGCCATCGCGGTTGACGCACCCGGATGTGACACCGTCTGTGCCCGACTACATGTGGAGATGTCAGCACGTAATGCATCGTCCTTGCATATGTATATTTGCTTGAACATGAAATGCTGGGACACGGGAATGGCACCCGCGGATGCGACTGCACAGAGCCTCTCCCCGTCACGTCAATTCCCTGCTTGATGTGACTGCAACCTTGGCAGCTTCCGAGCGACAGGCAACCACGGTCCCTTTGTCATCCGGGACATTACTTTCATCCAATCAAACGGTTCGAACACGGAAAGGAAATGTGAAATCGGAGGAATGGCAATCCCGAGTCGTTCCCGCTGAGGACCCAGTCCTTTCAATAGTGTCGTTTATTCATCATTTAATTTTGAATTCTGCACTGAGTTTAGCGCAGATTCATGTTGCTCTGTTTCCATTTCTTTGACGCAGATTACGACAACTACCGACAGCAGGGAAATCTGCCGTATTGCTGTGGGAGCAACGGACACCGCGCAATAGGCGCAGCCTTGCCTTTGCAGTGACGGCCGCGGCCACGACGGCGTTGTCGCTCGTGGTTGTCGCGTGCAGGACCGTGCATCCGTCGCTTCCCTCCAATTTGAAGCAACAGGCGTTCGGATCGGCCCCTGCAGAGAGCAACTCGTCGACGGCTGCCTGCGTCGTCGAGGACTCCTTTTCCTTTGCAAGCGCAAATAATTCCTGGGCAGCCAAGAGCAGACATGCTTCAGATGCGACAGACCATCAGCCGAGGATCTTTTGTAAGACGTTGACAACAACCGCAATTTTCTACATATTGCTGCAATTGTCTATCTGTTACTATTACAACGCAACCATAGCTGTGTGGATGAACTCCAGCACTCCAGCAACGCAGGCATCATCAAAACACGCCAATTCTTTTCCACCAGGCGAATGCTTCATAATGATGACTCGAATACAGAAAATGCATTCCTTTCGTGATCGTTTATGATTCCTCAACGTGTATCAGCCCCTCTAAATCTATAGATTTGGACAGGCAAATAATTATATGCGATGTTTTCCAGTATTCTCCGGTCCAAACTATTGGGTTTCAGCTGCATTTCGTTACCGGAAATGGGTCCAAACTTGTTTGATAGCAAATAAATTGGGACTTGCCGAGATGCCACCGGCATGGCAGCCAATTGATCCCTGCAAGGATCGTTCGACCAGTACAAACGGTCATGTACCTCATCTTGAGACTCGGCGTTGCATTTCAAAGTTGCAAGGGGTGTTCTGGCGTTGAACACAGTGCGCCATCCTTTGAGGTAGTAAGTACTGAAACAATAGCATGGGGCCCCCTGAAAGGAGGCTTAATCCCAAAAATCTATAGACTCTCGTCTCGAGCAGGCACGTGGGGAATATTGCATTCCGACCACAATGCCCTCCGCTGCCATCAACGATTCTGAGATTTGCCAATATTGGCACCCCTTCTCCTCCCCAAAATTACATTGTCGAGATACAAAAGGTCCAAATAACGATCCTGGCCCTAAATCCCCCCGAGACAGTTACGATTTCCGTGCACCATAGCCCTGGCAACATACAGCCTAGCACTCCTTCATGCTAAGACACAACAAAACTGTGACCTCTCTATCGCAGCAAATCGTCAAGCGCGTTCGCCACAGCCGACTTGCATCTAAAATTTTCCAAGCAAATGACGTCTCTGGGGGTGTCCCCCTCATCGTCCACTGCCGACTTGTCCGCCCCCGAATCCACGAGCAGCTGCGCCACTTCCACGTACCCCATGCTCGCGGCCAGGTGCAGAGCCGTCCAGCCATCGCTGGTCGTGGCACCAATGTCAGCACCAGCGTCCAGCAATACCTTAGTGACTTCCAACCCGCCATTCCACGTGGCAAGGTGCAGCGGCGTCCACCTGTTGTCCCTCCTGGGGTCTATTTCAGCCCCTGCTTCTACCAGCAGCCTCGCAACGCCCTCAGCAAGATTCCTGCCTGCCATGTGCAAAGGGGTCTCTCGCTCATCATTCCTCGCCTCTAACCGAGCCCCCGCTTGCATCAGAATCCCGGCAATTCCCGTGGCGTTGAAAGACGTTGTCCAATGCAGGGGCGTCCTGCCACCCCAGCACGTGGCCTCCAGTTCGGCTCCCGCTTCCACCAGTGCAGATGCTGCAATGGAATTGTTGCTGAATATGGTGGCGTGAAGCACGGCGCAGCCGTCTTTTCTGTTCACAATGAAGCAGCAGGCGCTGGGGTCTGCGCCCCTTGAAAACAGGTCCTTCATGTCCTGCTCAGTCGTGGCAGTCTCTTCCTCTCTGGCGATGTCAAATAGCTCCTTTGCATTCACCACCAACGGTCCCGTCAACATTGACAACTCGAATCTAACAGCACTTGGGATGCCACACAGCATTCAACTTGTCAACAATCAGCTTGTTGACATTAACTATTTTGCCACTGATCGATTGTCCTTTGTGATGGCTAACGTTCCCTCACACTATGACATCAGCTGCATAGCATAGTCGAAGCCTGATATGCGTGAGCCCATTGGAATATTGTA